GCAAGTCGAAAATGTGAATCGGACCATAGTAGACGGGATTCGGAAGAAGTTCGAAGACATCAGGGAAAATTGGGCGGATGAGCTCGACCGGGTCCTCTGGGCTTACCGAACTACACAAAGACGAGCAACTGGAGAGAGCCCATTTCCCTAGCATATGGCTTTGAAGCCAAGGTTCCAGTACAGGTCGTGGAGCCCACCTACCGAGTTCGCAGCTATTCCGACGAAGAGAATGAAGAAAGCCTTAGAATTGAAAAGAACTTCCTGGAAGAGAGAAGGGAGGTTGCGTGCGCCCAGATGGTTGAATACCAACAAGCCATAAAAAGGTATCGCGACCGGAGGATTCGCCCACGAGCCTTCCAGGTCGGCGACCTCGTGTTCCGGGACCGACAGGCAAGCCAACCCACGAAAGGGGGCAAATTCGCAATTAAGTGGGAAGGACCCTATCGCATTACAACAGTGGTTCAGGCCGGTACCTACAAGCTCGAGACCCTGGAAGGAAAACCCGTAGACCGACTCTAGAATGTCATCCATTTGAAGATATTCTACCAATAAAGAGGTTAGACATATACCCGAGTTTTCGGTCTTAATAAAAGAGCACCTTTTATCCTCGATCGTTGCTCTCCACTCGGCGAGAAAAGATAGGAAACAAAGGCCCAGACCCTTAGTCGTTTCCGAGAAAAAGCCAAAAGGAGTCGCCTCGACTGAGGGACTCAGCGAGTATATAAAGAAACAACGGGGCACTTACCCTAAACCGTTTCTAAGAAAAGAAAAAGCCTAAGATGTCGCCTCGACTGAGGGACTCGGCGAGAAAAGATAGGAAACAAGGGCCCAGACCCTTAGTCGTTTCCGAGAAAAAGCCAAAAGGAGTTGCCTCGACTGAGGGACTTAGCGAGTATATAAAGAAACAACGGGGCACTGACCCTAAACCGTTTCTAAGAAAAGAAAAAGCCTTAGGAGTCACCTCGACTGAGGGACTCAGTGAGAAAAGATAGGAAACAAGGGCCCAGACCCTTAGTCGTTTCCGAGAAAAAGCCAAAAGGAGTCGCCTCGACTGAGGGACTCGACGAGTATATAAAGAAACAACGTGGCACTAACCCTAAACCGTTTCTAAGAAAAGAAAAAGCCTAAGGAGTCGCCTCGACTGAGGGACTCGGTGAGAAAAGATAGGAAACAAGGGCCCAGACCCTTAGTCGTTTCCGAGAAAAAGCCAAAAGGAGTCGCCTCGACTGAGGGACTCGGCGAGTATATGAAGAAACAGCGGGGCACTGACCCTAAACCGTTTCTAAGAAAAGAAAAAGCCTAAGGAGTCGCCTCGACTGAGGGACTCGGCGAGAAAAGATAGGAAACAAGGGCCCAAAACCTTAGTCGTTTCCGAGAAAAAGCCAAAAGGAGTCGCCTCGACTGAGGGACTCGGCGAGTATATGAAGAAACAGCGGGGCACTGACCCTAAACTGTTTCTATGAAAAGAAAAAGCCTAAGGAGTTGCCTCGACTGAGGGACTCGGCGAGAAAAGATAGGGAACAAGGGCCTAGACCCTTAGTCGTTTCCGAGAAAAAAGCCAAAAGGAGTCGCCTGGACTGAGGGACTCGGCGAGTATATGAAGAAACAGCGAGGCACTGACCCTAAACCATTTCTAAGAAAAGAAAAAGCCTAAGGAGTCGCCTCGACTGAGGGACTCGGCGAGTATATGAAGAAACAGCGGGGCACTGACCCTAAACCGTTTCTAAGAAAAGAAAAAGCCTAAGGAGTCGCCTCGACTGAGGGACTCGGCGAGAAAAGATAGGAAACAAGGGCCCAGATCCTTAGTTGTTTCCGAGAAAAAAAAAAAAGACAAAAGGAGTCGCCTCGACTGAGGGACTCGGCGAGTATATGAAGAAACAGCGAGGCACTGACCCTAAACCGTTCTTAAGAAAAGGAAAAGCCTAAGGAGTCGCCTCGACTAAGGGACTCGGCGAGAACAGATAGGAAACAAGATCCTCGATCACAGAAGTCCAACGAAGTAGAAGGGACCAAGGCCTTAAGTTATTTCTTATGAGCCAAAAGCAGAAAAGAAATAAGGGCAGTCGAAAGGAGCAAAAGAAGATTTCATTAATAAAAAGACCCAAGAGGGGGGCCAACCCTTACAAAAGAGGGCTACCAAATGGAAAACCCTAAACTACGGGGGAAGGGGTGTCGACATCAACTTCTTTGACTCGAGCTTCTGCCGTTGGTCCAGCTGGAAGGACAAGTGAAGAGTCTTCTGCCTGGGTAGGCGGCTCTGTAAGCTCTGAAGGCTCCGCCGCAGGAAGGGCTGCCGGATCTGCAGTCGATGCGGGCTCAACAGTCGCCGACAGGAGATCCAGCACTGGCTTGAGGCCCCAGCTCTCGGGTGCGAAGGCAGAATCGCGGTCCAGCAGAGCAGCATAAGTCTCCGTCTGGGCCTCGTGAAAACCTAGACGATAGTCGCGCTCGCCCAAGTCAAGGAGATAGTCATCCCCTTCCGGCGTCACCAGCCACTCCTTGGCGATCTCCTTTTGCCGAGCCGCCACCGCCGCCTTCACGTCCGCCTCGAAGGCCGCCGACTTCTTATAATCCTCCACCGAAGTCGTGGCGATCGTCGCAACCTTGTCCCGCTCCTCCTCCCACTGACGAGTAACTCTCAACAGCTCGGAGGTATGCACCTCCACCGACTTGGCATGAATAGCTTGCTCTTCTAGGCGAGCTTCTTCTGTTTGGCGCAGTCAAGTGGAGAGAGATTGCAGTCCAGTCTTATACCCCCTCAGCCGCCTGCTCATCTCCATCTGGAAGGTGAGGTTCTACAAGGACAAAGGGAGTCAGATAAAAAAGAAGAAAAGGACAAAAAAGACGACGAGTCAGAAACACTTACGCGGTACGATTGGTGAAGCGAGGCCTCGAGGATATACTCGTCCGGCATTGCGCCGGTCATCTCCATGTCCTTAGGCAGAAGAACGTGGTTGGCCCAAGAACGGATGGAAGAGCTGCCCTGCCAGATCTGGGCGTCCTCATCCAGCTCGATGCCCAACCGGATCCTCTTTGGAGCCGGCGCATCCGATTGCTCGACCGGCCGCTTAGAGCTTGGGATCTCAGAAGGAGGAGGAGGCGACAGTCGGGAAGGCGAGACAATGGGTGACGGCGTCAGGTCCACCACAGTACGTGGTGGTGGAGGAGTCGACCTTGAGGCCGGAGAAGGGAAAGACGAAGAGGCAGCGGCGTCGCCCGAGGCGCGTTGAGACAGCCGGCGCCTCATCTTCTCAGCTCTGTCAGCCATCTCTGGAGTGGGAGTCTCGGCTTCGTCAGAGCCGGTAGAGTCGGAGTCGTAAGGACCTGTAAAGGAAGAGATTAGTGTTAGCAATCGGACAAAGAAAGAAAGAGAAGAGAAGGAAATGGGAGAACTACCTAAGGTGGCCGCGCCGTCTGGCAGCAAGCCTCGTTTTGCCATGGCTCGGACCCGAGACCAGTACTTAACAGAGTACGGCCCCAAGCTCTTCAAGAACTCGCCACCCTGGATCGTATCTTGGGTGAAGGCGGCGCGCCGAGAGCAGGGCTTAAACAGAGCAGCCGGCCACAGGGTCGGGAAGGTAAAAGAAGAGAAAGAAGGACGAACGAAAAGATAATAGGGCTTCCAATCCTTAATGGAGTCGGAAAGACCCTCGAAGAGTTGTCGCCCAGGCCGGGCGGCAACTTGGACAAAGCCCGGCGAGTGTGAGCCGACCTTATTCACGGTGAACAGATACTGGAAAAGGTCTAGATCCGGCTCACAAAGCCACCAATGGCAGAGGTTGATGAAGCAGGTGAGAAGACGGTGAGAGTTGGGTACCAATTGACCTGGAACGAGGTTGTAATGGCGGAAGAAAAGGGAGAGAAATGTACACGGAGGCACTCGGAAACCAAAGGCAACCGAGTGCAGGTGAATACCCACACAGCCCTCCGGCGGGTCATAGATATGCCGGCTTTCTGGGGCAAAGACGAGGGCAGAAGGTCCAAGAAGGTAGCGGGCCATTTCTAGGTCCGCCGCCGAGATTTGCAACGGGCGTCCTTCCGGCTGGACGATGGAGTCGAACTTGCCTCGCGGCCGTCCGGCGCCACCAGGAAGAGCCGCCACCGTCGTAAGAGGCGCCGAGCTCAGAGGAGTCACCGCCCCCGAAGAAGAGGGGGTCGGTTGGGAAGAAGACGCCAGTGAGAGACCAGGCGGAATCTCCATACGGCGAGGACTGGAAGTGGAAGAAGAAGACAAAGAAGTCGACACGGGGTTTCCCATCGAGCGACGGGAAGAAAAAGAATCAGAGGAGGAAGACATTACCAACCTGAGAGTGCTAAACGGAGAATGCAGAAGCTTGCGTTGAGTTCTTTTTAGAGAATTCAGAGAAAGTGAAAGAAGAGGGAAGAAGACGAGTATTTAAAGGGGGTAAGAATCCCAAACGGCGGCCACGTGTCACCCTCTCATTGAAGAAGAAAAAGGTGACAAGTGGTGAAGAGACGCCGCATTTAATGCCTGGGAAACCGTGGTGACGGTTCAGTCCTAGGGCTAGCCTGCAAACGGCGCGTCTACCCTAGGCTAGAACCGGGTTGCAGTGACCCGGCCTGCTAACCGGAGGCCCATCGTAGGCCTTAGCCTCTGGGCCCACCGGATGCGGATCGGAAGCTTCCAGAAGGACCCAGCAAAACCCGGCCCATTTTCGGCACAAGCAACGTTTGTGAAAGGATCCGAGTCCCAGAGTCGGATAATCGGATTTGGCAACTCCCAAACGAGAAAGGTCCCGGTAGAAGAGACCCAGGAGTCGACCAATGAATATACGGAGATAAGGGAAAAACACTACGAGCAGACAAAAGGACAAACAGTTTATTCGAAAAACAGCAGAGAGGCCTAAGACCCGGCCAAATACAGAGTACAAAGGGGCCTAAGACTCGGCCAAATACAGAGTACAAAGGGGCCTAAGACTCGGCCAAATACGGGGCACAAAGGAAAAGATGGATCATGGCTTGGCTTCCTCCTCCGACGGCTAAGCATGGGGAGGACCCTCCAAGAAGTACTGAGGGCGGAAAGGTGGAGGACTCGGCTCAGGCTCCGGCACCTCGTCCAGATACACGGCTGGCTTCCCGTCGTCAATCATCTGCAAGGGCCTCTCCAAGGCACTCGGAGACATGGCTACGCCAAAAAGAGGAGGAACCTCCCACACCTCCTCCTCCTCCGGGCCCGGATCGTCCACCACTGGTCCCACCTTGTCATCAGCCGGCTCCACATGGGCCTCAATCATCTGGGCATTCGGTTGTCCGGAATATCTTGTCAAAAGTTCCGATCCATTCCTCGAGGACCGTGGGGTCTTCGTTCCCCGAGAAGGTGGGTGGTTGATGCGCCGAGACTTGGTGGTGGATTTCCAAGTTCTCGTTTGTTGGTAAGGGTAGGGGAATGGTAGTACTCAGTGCCTGGGCAATTTGGGCCAGGCGTTGTAGATTCTGTGTCAAGAACTCCTGAGTGGGGAGTTTCGGTGTTCCTGTCTGTCTCCTTTTTGGTGCCATCCTGGTGTTCATAGGTCGATGTTATTTTGTATTCTCACCTTGATGCAATAAGTGAAGGGGGGAGTTTCTTTAAGTCAGAGAGGGATTAAGTGAGGGGGGGTTATGTGTAGGTTTCACAATCTCACTGCGCGTCCTATGATTCTTAAATCTTATGTTCCTAAGTACCTAGAGTTTAAGCATAGTGTCCTAAAGTCTGGTCTTAAGAGTCTCATCCTAGGGTCAAACTTAGGCTCTGATACCAACTGTAACACCCCAGATTTTCAAGACTTTTAAAACTTATATAATAAAGATAGAATCTCATTAAATCCCAAAATACGATACAAGAGTACGGGGTGCTATGCCACACCCGAGCTAGAGAACTCGGGTGCACAGGCTAAACTCTAAAACCTTAATCCGTATCAATACTAAATCATGGCACGCAGGCCGAAAGGGAAAACTATCTAAGCTACGCCCCAAGCTTCTAGCGCGCTCCAGTGATCTACTCGTCTGTGCCTGAAAGCCAAATATATCTGTTCAGCGAGAGAAGCTGGTAACCCACTCCAACGCGTAGAAATACAATACATATAGAGACATATATAGATATACGAAAACCATTTTGAACATGAAGATATATCCTACGAACTCTAGCTTTTAAAACAGGGATAGACTCAACAGGTAGGGCTAAGCACAGACAGCAGTTATACCAAGCATATACAGTTTACAACAGGCAAGACAGATAAGATAAGCACAATTAATAATCATAACCCAACATATACGATTCCCAGTATAAATCCCATAGTCACATCCCCAAGACACTCATAACCACAACTCATCCGTATCTCATCACATAGCACACTTTGTTGGCGCCACAGGACCAATCGCATGCCCATACATGAGGGTCAGCGCATATAGCTCTGACACGGCCCCGCAGCACCCTGCCCCGTATCGCAACACGGAGGGGTCGATCGCAACCGACCGATGAACCGCAGCTCATCATAGTTTGATCGCAACCAAACAGTGGACCGCAGCCCAAGAGTATGTCATCTGACCGCAGCCAAGAAATATGAACCGCAGCTCATGTAGAAACGTTTGATCGCAACCAAACGGTGGACCGCAGCCCGGGAGTGTAAATCTGACCGCAGCCAGCTTCTGAACCGCAGCTCAGGAATAACCAATCCGATCGCAACCGAATTGGGGTATCATGCACACATAACACATAGTAAGCACATGCAACCCACATTAACACATTGGGAAGGGGGAGAAAACGTATAACAAAACCTATGCGTGATCCTTCACATGCTAAGAATAATCCTAAGGGGTTCATACTTCTTTCACCTAGGTCAACGGACTACCAATTCAACTAGCATGCAATATATACGACTCATACAACCTACGAACGGTACCCGAAATACCAAACTAGACATATGCACGATAGACAGAGTCCGTTGGGACACCACGGGGGTCGGGGGAACATCAAACGGGGAAGCCAAAATCCCAAATTGGGGTGCAAACCAGCGGGTAGCCGGTGGGTGAGGGTTCACCCGCCGGCTGCCCGCCGGCGGCAGCTATTCCGGGCAGCGGGTGCCCGGCGGGCAGCTGCCCGCCCGCCGGCTGCCCGCTGCCGGCGTTGCCCAAGAAGGCCGCGGGTAGGTGGCGGGTCCCCTACCCCCCACTGACTCTTTTTCACCAATAACGCCCCGGGAACCTTTGTGGAACCCGAAACCATGCTTAGACACTTTCAAACGCAATTGATACCACACGTAGACAATTAACGGATCAAAGATCGAGAAACATATGGCACATAACCTATCATGTTTTTCTAAACATAATCCACACCCAATCATGCGAATTCCCACCCAATATACCAAGAATGATTCCATACGTTACAACCTAGGGTTCTAATCATTTTTAAATCAACAAGGACACAATTCATCTTCTAATATCAAGATTCGGTAAGAATATCACATAAACATCAAGAACATCCTACAATCATCAAGAACATCATATAATCATCAAGAACGTCATATAATTACCAAGAATACCATAATCATCAAGAACCTTTCATCACCAAGATCACCCATGGAATCATCCCATCAATTATCAATAACAATATCACAAATCATCAATACACAATAATATGGGGAAATCCTAAGAGGGGAATCATAGCTATGAAAATAGGTTTTGTTGAGACATGGGTTACCTCTTAGCCTTAATTAATTCCTTGGCTATGAAGGGTCTTTCTTGAAGCTTTCTTCTTTCTTGATTTCTCATAGTGGAATTCTTGGAACTTCTTGTGTGGTGAGGGATTATTGTGGTGGGGATTCTAGGTGCCTCCTTATGTTCCCTATTTATATATCTAAGAGTCTTACTTAGGCCTAATTACTATAGGTTTGCTAACTCTATTCCTTTTGGGACTAAGGATTGGGTTTTAGGGATAAGGGCCCGTGGACTATGGTGGGCCTTTCCTAATTAATTATTGTGATTTAATTCTTTCTTTTGGTTAAATGATTAATTGGTTTTAGGGATCATAACACGGGGTGTTACACATATCCTATCATGCTCTCTACACATAATTAACACCCCAAACATGCGAATTCCCACCCAACACATTGAGAATAACATCATACGAATTTCACGTTACATCCTAGGGCTCTAATCACAATTAAATCATCAAGAACGTAACCCATCTTTTAATATCAAGAAATATCAAGATTCGTCAAGAACATCACACAATCATCAAGAAACCCTTATCATCATCAAGAATATCAAGATAAAACCATATCACCAATTATCAAGATCACATCATCAATATCATAACAATTTACCAAGACACAAGAATATAGGAGGATGCCTAAGAGGGAGATCATAGCTAGGAAAATAGGTTTTGTTGAGACATGGGTTACCTCTTAGCCTTTAATTAATTTCCTCGGCTATGAAGGATCTTTCTCTAAGTCTTTCTTCTTTCTTGATTTCTCCTAGGGGATTTCTTGGAGCTCCTTGTGTGGTGAGAGATTATTGTGGTGTGGGTTCTAGGTGCCTCCTATGTCCCCTATTTATATATCTAAGAGTCCTAATTGGGGCCCAAATACTATAGGCTTGCTAACTCTATTCCTTTTAGGAATAGGGGTTGGGTTTAGAGGTGAGGGCCCACGGACTATGGTGGGCCTTTTCCTAATTAATTATTGTAATTTAATTCTTTCTTTGGGATAATTGGTTAAATGATTAATTGGTTTTAGGGGTCGTAACACGGGGTGTTACACTCTCCCCCCCCTTACAAGGGGCTTCGTCCCCGAAGCCCGGTGCATTAATCCATTCTTTCACCCCTGGACATCCCGTATTTTGGCCTCCTGGTTAGGAGTGCAGCCCCACGTTTTGTCTTTGCTGGGGTAGACTGGACTTCTGGTGTCGTGGCGATAGGAAAGTTTGGGTCTACCTTGGTTTCCTGCTCCGGAGCTGGATGCCCTGCGAGTGCCCAAGGTGGCCTCGATTGCTTCCACCCTCTGATCTAATGCGCGTGTCGTGTGGATTAAGGACGAGAACCCTTATTCCATGATTTGGTTTTGCCGGGTGAGTTGTGCTAGGATGCGCTCATTGACCGAGTCTTCGTTTTGTTCCCTTGGGTTTCCTCCTGTTCGTGCGTGTGTCGGTGGGTTGGGCTCGCTATCCTCTTCCTGATCCCCACCTTCATCTAGACCCCCAAAATCTTGCATTGCTCGTTTAAGCTTTTTGTTGGAGATGTCCAATCGTTCGACCAATTCTCTTCGCTCCTCCTCGGGTTTTAGGCAAATTTTTTCGAGGGTGATGTATTGTCCCCCTTCGGTGTAGTAGATATCATTGCGGCGGAGGTTCTGGGCGTTAAAGATCATGTCGTTTACAGTTTTGACCTCAGTGTGGCTTAGATCCACCCCTTTTTTCTCCATGATCCAACTTAGGATCATCCCGTAGGGCAGGCTAAGTCGGTTGCTTGTCTTGCAAAATTCCATGTGTTTTAGCATGAGGGCCGGTAGGTTGAACTTGATTTTGTGTTTCAAGAGGTAGGCAAAGGTGCACTCTAAGCTCCCCACGTCTTTGCTCTTATTATTTGTGTCAGTTACAATCATAACCAATATCTTTTGCTCCGCCGTTAGCCACTTCCTATTTGGTCGCGTGGCCGAGGTGAACCCTTCCTCTTTCCCGAGTAGGTACCCGAGGTAGTCTTTGTACCCCGTATTTTGGGTATCAATCCACCCCTTTCGGTCGTAATTTGACACACCCGTGGTGGTCAATTTCAAGAGCTTGGCCAGGCGGCCTTCGGAGAGTATGATTTCCTTGTCGCGGACCTTGGTGGTGATTTCTAGTTTATCACCCCGTTTGGTGGCTACTAGGTGTTGATAGAATTCTTTCACCAATTCGGGGTACGTATCCCCCTTGATGGTGAGGTACGTATCCAAAAGCCCTTGGTGATTAAGCATATCGACCAATTTCGGAGAAAATTGGTCGGGTTCAAGGGCTTTACCTCCGATTACGGTATAGCCGGCATTGCTCCATTCCGGGGTACAGGTTCCGAGGGGCTTTTTCGGCATTTTTGGGTAGGTGGTATTTTTCCGGCGATCTTCCGGTGGGACTCCGGCGTGTCTCCGGCGGTGATGGCGGTGTGCGGTGGGGTGCGGCCTGGGCGGTCGGCGGTGGCTCAGCTGCTGGCGGCGGCAGGTTCGTGGGTCCGGTGTTGGGGGTGGCGGTGAAGTGAGTGGGAGAGGGGAGGAGAGAGGGAGAAGAAGTG